TGTTTCGCTGTCTACTCCCCTCCTTCTGCCCACAAAGAGAGTTTCTTTTTGTTCCCATAGCCTGCTTTTTCGTCCCCTTTCTGCTTTCCGGGTGCCGTTTTCACTCTGCCCGCCGCTTTCCCGCTCCCTCTAGGTGTGCGAGGAGCAGAAGTGTGAAGAGGAAGTCTTCCCCCTGGCCATGAACTACCTGGACCGCTTTCTGGCCGGGGTGCCCACCCCGAAGACTCACCTGCAGCTTCTGGGCGCCGTGTGCATGTTCCTGGCATCCAAGCTGAAGGAGACTATTCCGCTGACCGCCGAGAAGTTGTGCATCTACACGGACAACTCCATCAAACCCCAGGAGCTGCTAGTAAGGACCCCGCCCTTGCCCCTGACCGGCCCCACTCCTAAACCCACCAATCAATCTGGAATCACGCTCAGTGCCAGGACTGCTCACATCTCCTCTGTGTGCCAGTGCCCTCAGGCTCAGTGAGAGCAGGGCTCCGTGGCACGTGTGCCTGAACACTTGTGTGGTTGGGGAATCACGGAGCACTTTAATTGATCATATTCTAATTGTTTCCAGTTTTTCAAAACTGAACTCTAATGAGTAAATAGTCTGACAGAGGAGTGTGCCCCCCCCCAGGAGTATCATGGTCTTCTACGGATCTCGAGGTCAAAGGTAGCTACTTCTAAATCAGTATAGTCTCAAGACATCAGCACATGGCAGCTGATCACTAAATACATAAATACAGGCACACTGACTTCTGGATTTGGCCTTTTATCCAGAGATGCAGAGACCTGGGCTTGGTTCTAGGAGGCTTTGACCTCTGCAAGTGGGGAGCCCAATGGATTCTAGATTTCTGCCTGGGACGCCCCATCGCCTCTGCCCCTAAAGTGACCTCTGGCTTGCGGGACTGAGTGGTGAGCAGCTCCCGGCCCCCAGCCCCCGGCCCTCGTTCGCAAGCCTTCCTCTGCTTGTGAGAGGAGAGCCCTCCCGCTCCCCGCTGCGCGCCTCCTGCCTCACTTCTGGGCCTGGGCCTGCAAGAAGTGCACAGGGCTGGTTCTGGCATCTCGAACTGAGGTCTTTGTGAGGCCCCTTCCTTTCTAGGGTTGTGCTGCCATCTAGTGGCAGACATGCGCAAGGCCGGGGCGGAATCGCCCAGAATGTGGAGGGGCTGGAATGACCTCACCTTTGAACCACTGCCAGACTAGGCCGGGAGGCCCCAAAGGTGCTTTCTTCTGGGAGATCTGCTGCCTTTACCCTGGTGGGGACGAGTAGCTCACACCGCGCTCACATTCCCTGCGGAGAAGCAGAGCTGGGGTTTCCAGTCTTGGAAGACTCTGTTGCCTAGTGGACCTGGAGTTTTTACCCCCAACCCTCTACAAAATGCCAGGTCAGGTTTAAAGCCATGCTAAGAAAAAAATGTTCAGAACCAGGAACCAGTTTGTTTCTCACGAGAACAGAAAAGAAGAATGTTCCCTTTAGTCCATGATCCTTCCATGGGACAGTGGACCAGAGGAGTTCATGACACCCCGACCCTTCCAGAACTAGCACACTTATAGCCACACAGGCCTGCCCTTCCCATCTCACATCTGGGACCTGTGATAGGGATGAATCCTCAGAGAAAGCTGAGGCCCGGGCAGGGAAGGACCCTGCCCGCCACATAGCCAGTTGCTGCTAGGGTTTAGCACTGGCCCCAGGCTTTGCAGCAGCAGTGACAGGCTTCTTGGTGGATGGGAGCAGGGTGTGCTGCTGTGCTGCTCTCTGCCTCTTCTGGGGATGAGGGCTTGACAAGCGCATTTCCTCTCTGGTGCACACTGGCCTGTTTCCCTGTGAGCACAGTTTCCCTCACCTCCCTCAGGAAGGAGAGCACTGAGGTGCTCTGGGCCACCTCAGACCCAGAAGAGCCCAGGCTGCGTTGCCCCAGCCTTTGGCCAAGGGCCCTGTGCCCCTGCTTAGCGCCCCGCCTTGCCCCCAGTCACCTCCATCTGCAGAGTGGTGGCCGTCAGCCGTCTCAGGCCTTCGGTCACTGTGATGGAGGCCTGTGGCACTGAGGGAAGTGCTGAGTGTCACGGTGCTGAGATTTCTTCCCGAGGTGTCAGGGAAAGTTCTAATAGCAGAGAGAAAAACGGCACCTTTTTGGCACCAAGTGAAAGCCAGCTAAGTGGTTGCCAAGGAGTTGGGCCAAGGAAGCTCATTTTGCACTGTGTCCGCATGCATCACTTCCCTGAGGGTTGAAAAGACCATTAGTCAGGGATGGAGACACTCAAGGCATCACTACCAGAGGGCCACAGTGACCCCGGCCGCACATCCTGTGGGTTCAGCATCCACAGAATTCGGGTGGGTGAGGCTGGAAGAGCAGAGGGCAGTGACAGCAGGAGGAGGCAGCGGCATCAGTTCAAAGCTTTAGGGCCTCGGTGACAAATGAGCCCACCCTAAAGAGCCCCATTAGAGCTGGCGCACAGCCCAGCGCCAGCCTGTCTGCCCTGACCCTCTGTCGCCCTCCAGGAGTGGGAGCTGGTGGTGCTGGGCAAGTTGAAGTGGAACCTTGCTGCTGTCACCCCACACGACTTCATTGAGCACATCCTCCGCAAGCTGCCCCAGCAGCGGGAGAAGCTGTCGCTGATCCGGAAGCATGCGCAGACCTTCATCGCTCTGTGCGCCACCGGTGAGCAGCTGGGGCCCCCGAGGGGGCTGGACGGAGGCAGGATGGGGCAGTCTCAAGTCATCTAGCATCCAGGTTTCCTCCTGGGCTGTTTGTTCTTGGACTTTATCAGAGCTGGTGTATTCCTTTGCTCAGCTAAACCCATAAATGGTTTATGAGGACAGGTGTGGTAAAGGGAAAAAAATGAGCGCCTGTTAGAATGTTCTTTATGATGTCGAAAGTGCTCTTTGAAGATTATATATACTGCTTAACGATTGTGTTTAAATCTTTAATCTTCCAAGGAAAAGGGCAGCTTGGAGATAAGCCCGAGAGGAAGCGAAGGGAGTAGGGGCAAGTACAGGTTGAAGGAGCAGCGTCAAGAGGGGTGTGCTGCCTTCCCTGATGACTGCTTGGGAGCAGAGGCGTTCTTCCTGCGGGTGGTTACTGCCTTGCTGCTCCCTTTGCTGCATGGGAGTGGGGACCTGGTGGCTCTCAGCGAGGATTCGCTCTCTGAGCTGGGGGTTCTGATATCCTCTCTGCATTTATGCCCCTAGGCCTTCAACATAGCGGCTGCAGGTAGCTTCTTCCTGCTGGGATCAGGCGATTGATTCGTAGATGTTACTGCATTTCCTAATTAACTAAAGGCAGTGGTTTCCTAGCATCTCAGTAAAGTGAACCTTGGCCACTTTACTATTTTTTTTCAGTAATGGCCAGGGTGGGAGATCCCTGGGCCTTAGTGACCCAGGACAGCTGTGTCGGGAGTTCATGATCTCATGGTCAGGAGGGTAAAGTAGCCACCTGGGGAAACCACTTGGGGTGATTCGGGTTCATTTGGCCAGGGGTAGTTGAATCCTGCAGGAGAGAGCACTAGATTTCTAACACCTTGCTACATGTTACGAGTATGTACAGATGAGCATTACCTGGGGTGCTATCTACAGTGTATCTGCTGCTGTTCATAGTCAAAAGGTCGGGCTTTGTTACTTATGCTGGGTGACCTTTCACAAGCTGATTAACCTCGCTGAACTTCGTCTGCAAACACACTTGTTAGGAATTGTCCTGCATTAATAGAGCAGCTAGGAAAATTAGAATCAGATAGGGGATAGGTGGGAGAAGTACTCGGTACTGTGAAAAGCCAGCCTCTGCCTTTAGCTGCTCCAACCCAGGTGGCTGCTGCAAAGCGGCTCCACCCTTATCGCTGGTGGCGTGGAGTTCCCGGTCTCCCTGTCTGGTGCACTGGCCAAGCCCCTCTGGGGCCTCTCCAACCGCCCCGCCACAGGCCCATGCTCCTCTGTGGAGCTTGAGGCCGGCGCCTTTGCCGCCTTTGGCACAGTTGCTGTGTGCTTCCTTCCCCTGCTCTCTGGCCAGGCCCAGGGCCCAGTTCCGGCTGACCTGTCGCTGTGTTGGGCAGCCTGTGCCGCCTCTCCGGCCTGGGACAGCAACCCTGGCCCTGGACCCCCTACTGCCCCACTTCGCTCTGGCCCACAGACCTTCAGGGTCACCTCTGGGGTCTTCCTGCCCTTCCCTCCTCTCTGATCTCTGGTTTTGGGGGTGCGGGGGGTATTACCCGTGCATGAGTGAGGCCTACCCTATGAACTCGGACCCCACCCCCACCCGTGGCCTTCTTGCCAGGTCCTTGGGGCAGCTGCCAACTGTGGGGCCAGAATGGGAAGCCTGAGACTCAGACTGAGGACAGAGGCCGGGGAGGCGGAGCTGTCCCGAGAGCTGCCTTCCAGCCTTGAGCCAGCTGGGTGGAGGTAGGGGAGGTAGGAGAAAGCGTACCTCCTCTAGGCAGAGCAGCATGCCCTGCACGAGGATCTGTGCACATGACAGAGCCAGCAGAGCCACCGCTGCCCAGGGTTTGCCCTGACCTCGAGGCCTGCCTGCCTTGGAGGAAACCCTGCCCAGCCCAGGAAGGCGAGAGCCCCGGACTGAGTCTGGCCACAGCAGGTGCAGGATGGTGGGGTGGGTGGGGGAGGAGCCCACACCCTCCCACCTCTGCCTCCCCGAGGATATCTGCAGGCCCTGCAGCCAGGCTGTGGGCCCACAGCAGGAGCAGGAGCAGGGGGCCCTGAGGAGATGGTAGGAGCCAGCCTTCAGGCTACAGGGCTGGTTTGTGGGAAAAGCTGGTTGTGAAAGAGCTGGCCGAGGTTTGGCCCAGTGCAGTCAATGTGTGTGAAAGGGGAGAGCAAAGTGGGCCTCAGGAAGGTGGCCGGGGTGGTGGCAGGGAGTGGGGACGGTTTCTGGGGGAGAGATGGCCCCAGCTAGCTGCCCTGCACCCCTCTCCTGCCCCTGCTGGACCGTGGGCACATGTGGCAAGAGTCTTCAGCCGCAGCTGACCTCGTGGTCACCTCCAGGTGCAGGAAGAAGTCCACTGATTGCCCAGGGCTACACTCTCAGGAGACCCCTCCCCAGGTGCAGAGGCCATGGCATTAAAGAGGAGGTCTTTTCCTGCCGGTAGCCTACACCTGCTCCTCTGCAGGAGGTGAGGCACCTGGCTGTGTCCCCCACAACATGGCCAGAGCCCCAGGGATGACAATCCCCCTGGTGGCCCCAGTCTTTGAGCCCTCACCCACGGGACAGTAGGTAGGACAGCAGCACTGCTGCCTCCTTCCCGTCTGGTGGTGCCTGCAGAATGAGGGCCTCTCCCATCTCTGCCTTCCTCCTCCCTGCAGCTTTGGGGGCTGACCCGTCAATAGCACTTGTGTTGCAGCCCCACCCCACCCCAGCCCCAGGAGCTCAGGGTGGCCTGGGGTGCGGGAGAAGAAAGTGGGCTCTGACCCTGGCACTTCCCGAGGCTGCAGCTTGGAGGAGGACACCCGAGGAGAGGCCCACCTGGGTTTCCTGGCCTGGGAGCGAAGTCGTGAACAGAAGCCAGGCAGTCACACTGTAGGCCTCCTGGGCCAGGGCCTGGTGTCAGCACTGAACTCACTGTGCAGACCCTGGTGTTGGGGATTCTAACCCCAAAGAGCCCTGAAAAATCTCACTGAGACATGCAGGATCCAGGTTGACAGGAAGCATTTCTCGTGGCCTTTGCTCAGATGAGGGCCCCACCTGACCCCTGGGCTTGGACTCTGAGTCACACAGCCTACAGGTTCCAGGGCAGGCTGCTCAGGCCTCCTCCCTCTCTGACAGGACAGCGCATCCTGTCGCCCTGAGGGACCTTTAGGGGGCAACCCTGAGCGCTCTGACTTCTGATGAGTCACGCAGTACATCCCAGAGCCTATGCTTTAAACTGCTTGCAAAGAACCAGGCTCTGCATTGCCATGGCTGTTGTTGTACATCTTTTGGGGAAAGATGCATCCACGCCTGGAACAAGAGGCACATCATAGCCACTCAGTGTGCCCCCCACTCCAGGCATCCTTAGGGGAGTTGCCTGAGAGCCCTGGACCCCGGACAGCCCCTAAATCTGCTGGGCGAGGGACTGGAGAGTTGGTGATGCTTCTCTCCCCTTCCCTGTCAGGCACTCTCCCAGGCCTCTGCGGGCTCAGGACCAAGGGCTGGTGCCTGTGCCGTGAGTGTCGCAGGGGAGCTGGTGTTGCTGGGCAGAGAAGGGATCTCCTGTGACCAGTGTGCAAGAGACCTGCTGCAGAGCTATGCTGCACTGGCTGAGGGGAGGTGGGCAGGCGTCAGGGCAGTGCCGTGAACCCGGGCCTCCAGGTGGAAGTAGCAAAGGCAAAGGAATGGAAGCTGAGGAGAGACAGGCTGCCAGGCCTCGCAGGTCCTGGGGTCTGGCCAGGAAGGCAGGGGAGGGGCATGTGGCTCAGGCGCCCACTGGTTTTCTAAGACGCCGCAGGCTCCCACTGAGGCCATGCGCAGCTGCAATCCGAGCCATTCCAAAGGCTGAAGCAGGATGATTGCAAGGTCTATGCCAGCCTGGGCAACACAAGGAGAGGTTATCTTGAAATTGAAAAGACAGGATGCGGCCCGTGGGTGGAGCACCCAGAGTTAACCTCCAGCCCTGGGGTGGAGGGGCTTCCACGGCCTGGGTGTCTGTAATGCAGGGAGCGGGGTTGTGTGGATTCAGCCCAAGGCTTTGCTGCAGACTGAAGTGTGTCTCGCCTCCCCCTTGCACGTCTTCCATTTCCACATCTGGTGAGTTCACTCGAGGCCCCGCAGTGAGAGATGCACTCTGTAAGGGCTGCTGCCCTCAGAACCTTTCCAGGCTCGGGGTGGGGGTGGGGCGGGGGGACTGCGACCTCTCTGCCTGTCAGCAGCAGGCAGGGACGACTTCCACTCTTGGCCTCAGGCTCCTGCAGGACATGAGGGAAGAGGACCTCACACAGGGTGGGACTGGAAATCCAGCGCTTTTATAATTTTAAAGTTTATTATTGTAAAAGACGTTATTATTCCCCTCAGAACACTCCCCGTCACTTTAAACACGCTTGTCCCGTTGTTCCTACTGTTCCACAATCTGCAGTGGCTCTGGACGCCTCCTTTCTTGAGGGTCTTCAGTTGTGCTGTCCTGGCTGCCTCAATGTCCTGAGTCCGTTCAAAACGTTTACCTTTCACGGTCATTTTGGCTTTGGGAAGTGGCACAGTGCCAGATCTGGTGGGTGAGGGGCTGAGGCCTCCAAGGGCACTTGGAGCCACACTCACTGCTGCGACGCTCACAAAGAGGCCTCTTCAGAAAGGGGTGGGAAGGACGAGCAGCCGAGGGAGCACTTGAAGGGGCATCGGTGACGCATCTTTAATTGTGGTAGTGTTGAAGCGAACATTCACAGTAGCTCTTGACCGCTGTGAGGTTCTGTTGTGGATGTGTGTGTGTGATTGGCAGCTGTCAGCAGCCGCCGTCTTCATTTCCCCATGGTGGGCTGAGTGGGTGCTGTGTCACACGCCTGTGGAGAAAAGCAGCATCCGCAGTCCTGGGCCGGCCCTGGGGCCCTGTAGCATCCTCTGCCTTTGTCTCCAGAACAGCTGTGTGTAAGGGCTCTTCTTAGGATGCAGCTGTGGTGCTGTCCTGTGCCGTGGCGTCTGTGGGGTCCCCGCATGTACTGGGGCTGGGGACCCCGGCAAAGTCCCTCCTGCTTTGCTGCTGCTCTCACCGCCCTGACTGGCTTATGGACATTGCTTGGGGCCATCCTGGTGCCAGCCCGGCTTCCACTGCGTGATCACACAGGGCTGTCCTTCGTAGAGCTTTGCCTGGTTCCCCCTGCTTGGATGCTGTCCTCACAGCATGGCGAGTCCTTTGCTGTCCCACCTGTGGGCCAGGGATCCTACCTCGCAGCCCCAGACTGCTCTTCTCCGCTGCACATTCACCCTGGCCGTGCTGTCCCTGCTGGTGCAGGAACCATTTATGTGTGATTGCGGGAGATGGGGCCAGGCACCTCGAGCCACTGTGACTCCATGGGTGTGTAGATGAGCCCGTTCTTCCCTGCCTCAGCCTCTTTACAGTCTGACCTGGCACACAGGAGGCCCTGCGTGTGTGCTGAGGGGTCAGGCCAACTCCCTCCTCCACCTCTGCCTTCCCCTGCCCTGGGTGGGCGGCCTGGCTCAGCACTGCATGCCCCCGGGGCCCTGACCTCCACTCCCGTCCCTTGCAGACTTCAAGTTTGCCATGTACCCGCCCTCGATGATTGCAACTGGAAGCGTGGGGGCGGCCATCTGCGGGCTGCAGCAGGACGAGGAAGTGAGTTCCCTCACGTGTGACGCGCTGACAGAGCTGCTGGCCAAGATCACCAACACCGACGTGGTAGGTGGTGCTGCCTTCCTGGCCCAGAGCCCCGAGAGACACTGGTTCGATTATGGCAGTTGAAGGTTGGGGGGATCGTTTGGTGTCTGTTTTCTAAGATTCACACTTGAAGTAGTCAAGAGTTCATCAGGGGAAGTGTAGACCAGAGCTCAGCAGGTGGAGACAGCGGGGGCCAGTCCAGTTCCCTCTGTTGTGGACTCCTTGGAACCTGAACTTGCTCTCCATCCCTACCTGTCCACCTCGTACTGGAGGCCATCGCGTCGGCTATCTGAGGGCAGCAGGCACAGAGCACAGGCGGCCTCTCCACCCCTCCACCCCTCCTGTCCTACTGTACGGTCCTGTCGTCAAGGGTTAAAAAGCACTCTGAAAAGAGGAAGTGCTGTGTGAATTCAGGACGCTATTATTAGCTATCGACTTTTTGCAAATTCTCTGGATGGCCCAGAGGTTGTTGCTTTTCTGGTTGCCAGAATTTGGAGCTCCTCAGCAGAAAGCTTTTGAAATAGACCAGAGTGCAGCGAGCCAATTTCTCCTTCGCAAGGGCCTGAGGGACCAGCGTCCTGAGGGAGCAGGGCGAGGCACTGAGCTCTGACTCTGGCCGGAAGCGCTCCACTGCAGCTCCGGCCTCTTTTTGTCTAGAAAAGGACTCTAGTTGAAAGGCAGCGTGCAGGCAGAACAGGGTGGTGGCTCTGCAGTGCAGCAGTAGCGTCACCACGGAGAGGCTCAGGAATGCAGGGGAGCTCAGGATGATACCCTCCGGAGGTTCCGGGGATTCAGTGGAGGTTCCGGGGATTCAGTGCCTTCCCTTGTGGGGAGCCATTGAGCTGGGGCCACGTGACATGCAGGCCGGACTGCTGCTTGCTGCCCCCAGCCCTCCCACCTGCCCACCCGGGCCTTTGCTGCCAGCTCTGAAGGAGTGGCAGGTGTTGAGGGGCCTAAAGGAAGAAATCCTGATCCTTCACTGAACTGGTTTTTAGACTGAGCTTTTCGTTAAGGGCTCTAAATACAGACTGTAAAGCCTCTGCTGCATCATGAAAAACTTTCTAATCCTACTTTTCTAATTCTCCAGAGAAAAATGGACAGAACTGAACATTTATAGCAGTGATCCCTTTCCTTTCCTCAGTGTCATCTGCTGAGACTGCCTGATAAGTAAGGTTCCAACCGGTGGAAGACAGGCCCTTCCCCAGCCCCTGGAGACAAATCAGCCCTGACAAGAGCAGACCCCTGCATGGTCACCTCTTGAGATGTTACAGACCTGCTCTGGCTGGCTGCTCCCACACAGGCAGCCTCCAGCCCTCTCCCAGATCCTTCTGTCTCTGTCCCCTTTCATCACCAACAACCAGCCTGTCCACTCACACTGGAGGGACTGGACTGCCTGCCCTTCAGGGGCACCGCACCCCTCATGCATTCTAGCCCGCTGTGGACCCAGTTCATTGCTCAGTGCTCCTGTCAGTCACAGCAGTTGGCTTGGGACCTCTTTTCTGTTTTTGAGACAGGGCTTCTCTGTGCAGTTCAGACTGACCTTGAACCAGAGGCCCCAGGCCCTGCTAAGTACCTCATTTTCAAAAGGGGCTGAGTCCTATTTCTTAATAGAAATCCATGTCCATGTCTGATGCTCACAGGAATGGGAATAGACATTTGAGTATTAAAAACCAAGCACGCATGGAGTTAATAGAATGTAAAGTTCCCACCACTTGTTCAGTAAATGTCCAAGCAGTTCCATGCCGGCATGTTCCCCAAGGGCTTGTGCTCCTCAGAATGTTTTTAATGGGAGAGTTCGAGCTGACCAGCCAGTCCACTCCTGTGCATGGTGTGCGCAGCTCCCAGGGCCGGGTCTCCACCCCTCAGCTGTATTTCAGGAGGATGGAGCCCGCGGCTGGGACCCAGAACCCATTCTCGTGGAGGGAGGTGGATTTTGCTTCCTGAGCTCTGTCTGTTTTTTTTAGACAAAAAGTAGTGTGTTTCAAGTGGTTCCCCTCCACGCGCTTCTGAACACACCGATCCCCCAGCTGTTGCTCATGGGTGCCTTGTGAGGGGCAGGGACACTCCATGCCAGTCGGTCCGGTCCACACTATCTTCATGGTAGAGCATGGTGGGAGTGGCTTGACCTCCAGGAATTTCCTGGTTCCAAGACTGGAGAAGAGTAACAAATTGCCTGCAAGTTCAGATCATAGATGAGTGAGTGCTGTATAAGTACAGGAGGCCGTCAGTGCACAGGAAGGAACTCATGAGGCCTAAGACAGAATCGGGTCTCTTAGCAAAGCGCAGTTGTAATAGAAAATTCCCTTGGAACAGAGAAACAGAATCTGGTATATATGCGTGTGGGTGGAATATTATTCAGCCTTCAAAAACAACAAAATTCTGATGCATGTACAGTGTGGCTGAACCTTGGAAGTAAGCCTCACACAGCAGACGAGAAGTGTGTGAGGGACCCATGCAGTCACGCATCTCAGGGAGCGGTCATGCACAGTGGGACAGGGGGTGGAGTGACCAGGACTTGAGTGGAGAGAGAAGGGAGTCTGGGTCCAGGGTCAGAAACTGGGTTTCTGTTTGGGAGGGTGAAACACTTTTGGAGACTAAGGATTCTGGTGGCTGGCAATCACATGCATGCACTGAATATCATGACAAATGGTGAAAATGGCCAATTACATGTCACATGGGTTGCTTCTGTGACCCCCGTACATGTATACCACATGTGTGCATGACATTCTCGGCCAATGGAGCGCCTGTGTCTGCTGTGTCCTGTGGGAGGAGTTAGGTGCATGCAGACCCAGGCTGCTTTTGCCCCTGGTACACTTTGCTGGAGCTCCAAGAGCACAGCAGCCAAGCCCCCAGGTGTGAAGCAGCCCACCCCCCCACCCCCGGCTCTCAGGCTCTGGTAGAGGAGCCACCCTGCTCCTCTGTTGCAAGGTAAGGGGGAAGGCTCCACTCCAGACAGAGGCTGAGGGAACAGGCCTGCAGTTTCAGGGAAGCAGAGCCTCAGGATGTAGATTTAAGTACTTTTCTTTCCAGTCCAGACGGTTGCTAAGGCTGGCTTTGGGCTGACTTCTGCAGAGGCTTCCGTTGCTAAGGATAGATCTGAGAGCAGGACCGAGCGTCCTGGCCCCCACAGAACCGGGGTTCCCCTTCCGCCCCTTGCCACTGTGCTCATGCCTCTGCCAAGGTTTACCTCACCACCCGCTTGTCTGCAGGACCCTGGAATGAGACCCAGATTTCATCAGAGCCCGGCACTGTCTCCAGGCGGTGCTGGACAGGGAGAGGAGGAAGGAAGCCGCGGAGGACAAAGGGCAGCGGGAGGGTTTCGAGTGTGCCCCCATTCGTCCGTGTCCCTGCGGTCCTCTGCATGTCGCCTGACTTTATCTTCAGCCGAGTCCCTGGATTTTCACAGTTAGTGACACTTCCACTAGTTAAAAGTGGAGTTGAGGCTCCAGGCCATAGAGCATGGCAGGGTCCCAGGAAAACATTTAGAGGTTGAGATGCAGACCCCGCATCTGGCTGGTACCTGGAGCCTTTACCAACAGGTTACATCAGAGCTCAAGCGTGGCTCAGAGAAGATCCCAGGTGTCCCTCCCTCAGGGTCTTCCTGGTGTTGACAGACCCAGTTGTCAGATAACTGGGCAGCAGGAGGAGGCCCCCCTTGGACCACATGGTGTTTGGGGTTCCCAGGACCCGGTCTGTCTCCCTCTTAGCTGGGAGCCCAGTGCACTCAGGGTGGGAGAGCTGGGGCTGAGGTGGACAGAACCCAGTGCCCCCAGCCCTCGCTGAGTGCCTCATTTGGCATGCAGGGAACCTAGCCAGGCAGCCGTGAGGGAGGCGGGGAGGAAGCAGGATGTCTCCTCGGCTGTCCATGTCTGAGTGGGCTGGGACGGGCCAGGGTCGTTCAGCCCTTTGTGCCCCTTTGAGAGCTGTGCTTGTGCTGACGGTGCTGGGCAGCTCCACTGTGCTCACAGTGGGAGTCCGTGGGCCGATCTTGGGGCAGAGGAGGGTGCAGGGCATGGGCTGAGCTGCAGGTGGAGGAGGTTAAGCCCTGGGGACGGGCTGTCATCCCTAACAGGCTGCTTCACATCCCCCTTCCAGTCTGCCTGATTCCGGCATCTCCGCAGTGGCCCATGCATCAGAGCCTGCACCACACTGCGTCCGGTGGTCCCGGGGCCCCGCATCCAAGGCCTCTTGGCCTTTGGGGCGCTGTCCTTTTCTTCCTCTGATCGCTCAGGCTCTGTGTCCCTTCCTGCAGCCTGGAAGATGCAGAGAGGCACAGGGAGGAAGTTCCAAGATTGGAGCCTCGCTTCATTGTATCATTTTGCTTTTTCTTTGTTTTTTGGTTGTTTTGAGACAGGATGTCACTACATAGTTCAGGCTGACCTCGAACTCATGGCAATCCTCCTGCCTCAGCCTCCCCAGAGTGGGGATCACAGGCGTGTGCTACCCAGGATACCCGGAACAGAGCCTTTTAGGCCGCCCTCAGGTTTAGCTCCACGTGGAGGGAGGGGCCACTTCACCTCGGGCTTCAATCCCTGCTGGGAAATGAGGGCATCACCCTTGTGACACCCATGGGCTTCCCGGTTCTCCTGGTTCTGTGGCTGCTGGACAATGGGTTGTCCGAGGCTCTGCCTCAGCTGCACCCCTGACGCCGCTCTCACCCTGGTGTGCCCCGCCTTGTGCAAGGCAGTGTCACGGCCCCCCAGCCCCAGCCCACACCTCCTGCCCTTAGCTCTGGAGGGAGGTGGAGTTCGGTGGCACCAGAGTGAGAGGTCAGGTGGCAGACACCAGTGCCCCTGCAGCTTCTCCTCTCCCTTCTCCGCCCATGGTGCCCTCCAGGAGTGCAGCAGAGGAGGGTGAGGCTGGTCCAGGGAGGGGTGACTCTTGCTCCGCCTGCAGAAAGGAGAATGTTGAGGCCCCCGCAAGAAGGTCTTCATCTGGCTGAGCTGGGAAGGAAGGACTCATTAGTTGAAAGTCAACCTGATAGCAGATGTGGTAATCCTAGCTACTTGGGAGGCTGAGGCAGGAAAGTTGCAAGTTCCAAACTGGCCTACAATAAAATCCTGTCTCAGAATAAAATTAAAAAAAAAAAAAAAAAAAAAA